ATGACCTTTGGAAGTGACCCAAATTGAATCATTATCCAACCATTATCTAAGTATAAAAGAGGTATTTCTGCCTAAATTAATGTTTAAGCAAAAAAATAGAAATTTAGAGAGAGGATCTTTGCATTCTCCCTCTTCCTCCAACATCTTTAAGCCTTAGATCTATATCCTTGAATATGGAAAGAAAAATAAAATATAGTGTTCAAGCATTCATCTACTTCATTCTACATCGGATTCTTCCTGAACAAAGTTCAAGTTTTTTTAAGCAAATGTAGCCAGGGGCTAAATCCATAAGAACCCCAATTTCTCCTAACTTCATTCTAGGTATGCTAAAACGTCAACATTCTGTACATAAGCTTGCTAAAGCCAGGATTTGAGCAGTTGATCGCCAGAGCAATAAAATCAAAAATATAGGCTCGCTGAGGTCTTAATATTCAACAGTTGGTCATTGGAGCCACAAGATATATCCAATGAGGCTTTAATATTCAGCAGAAGCTTATTGAAGCTGCTAATTAATTTCCACTTGTAACTTAGTGGAACCTAAGGACTCTGTCCTTATATAGTAGAGTAACATAAATTATAGTGTGAATCTTGATTTTTCTTGTTAAATGACTGAGAAATGAAAAAAAATGAAAAAGACATTCACCCACTGCTTAGACTATAGAGTTGCCGAAGCTAAATCTAAAAACTCAAGGTTCAATTTAAATATTTATCTCACTTCATAAAGAGGTGGGAAAGATATTTTGACTAATTTTGGAGAACCAACTAGTCACAATAAGCATGCTCAAGTTCGTACTGAGAAATCTGCAACTGGACCTTGTGGTCGGGGCCACCAGTTAGGCTACCTTTGAACAACATCAATAATTCTTGGATCTCTCTCTCTCTCTCTCTCTCTCTCTCTCTCTCTCTCTCTCTCTCTCTCTCTCTCTCTCTCTCTCTCTCTCTCTCTCTCTCTCTCTCTCTCTCATCTTTAGTCGGCAAATCCGCCGCCACTGCGACGGACCTCAGTCAAATCATTTTCAAGTTGATCCGCCTTTGCTGCGAGAAAACGGTCCCTAATTCTGAAGACTCTAAAACGGGCCTTTGCTACATCCGCCGTGTCCCACTTTGCCAGGCAGCAAGGAGGCACCAACACATGGGACTTTCCTAGGAAGCCCGGAGAACCGACGGCGGCGCACGACACGCTCACATGAGCAGGACGGGCCCTCGCAGAGGACGACGCGACAGTTCCACGTTTTCTTCCCATGTAACCTCTCGACGCCGTTTCCCAAGCAGCTCCCCCGGTATCCACTCTTTTCCTCCTCTGCCCTACAAGGGATTCATCCAGCTGGTTGATCCCTCCCCTAGTCGACGATCTTGGGCTCAGCCCTTTTCCCACACTGTTCAAGGCAAATCCAGAGGGTGCCCTGAGAGAAGCACCCACCGGATTGACTCGCGAGCGGCGTACTTTCCTGCGTGACGAGGTGGAAGACTTGGTTGATTGTCCGGTGGTCCTCGTCTCTCTCATCTCGAACTTGAGGGCACTCTTTGACCACGATCCGTCAGACGCATGGACGATCTTTCTTTTGTCCCGGCGTCGATTGAAGAAATTATTACCGTGATGTGATCACTCGGTCGTATTAAGACACGAGATCATAAATCCTTGAGAGAGATAGAATGGACCTCTCGACTGGTACAGTACTACGGAATTCAATTTCCATTTCCTTCGATCAAGCAACGGTGTCGTTAAAAAGCTTCAGTGGTTTTCTTTCAAGCCTACGTAATTAGAGTATCACTATTAAACTAGCAATGCTTATTAAATATTAACTAAAGAGTTGTCCCTATATGCATTTACGCAATTACTGCCCTGGTAAACAATGAATTTCGTGTACTACGATCTCATATTTTAATATAATGTCAAGCCCAATTGTTTTTGTGGTTGCTGTGCCATCCCTATTTATATCATCATTGATTCAAACTCAAAAAAGTTAACCAGTTATTCATTTAACTCCAAACTTAAATTTATAAAAGTGTTAGTGTCAGATTATTTTCAAAGTGCTCATATTGAAGGGACATACTATCATTATGACAGGTCATTTGTTGCTAAATTTTCTTGTTCTTTACTTTTTACAACGTTGGTACCCTGTTTTTACTTATCATTATGACAAGTTCCAAAGTCAACTTCCGTTGGACGTACATTGTTAGAACTGTCCCACATTAAAAATAGTAATTAAAATAATATACTCATCTAGATGAAACAATTCTACTGACCATCAATTATATTCGAGTTGAGAGATCCCCTGTCAAAAAAATTACATTGAGGGCCTTCTGGAGCTGACCAATCTGAATGATCCTAATGGGGATTAATTTGATATTACATCGATTAATTAGTCAAAAGGCCCATGACGGGCTCACATGGATGAGACACTCTTCGGCTCTACTCTGTCAGCCAGATTTGAATTGGATGGGATAATGGGCGCAGAAACTTACCATGTTACACGAAGAACAGAGAGGATATTGTCGGATTAACTAATACCGAGGGATCGAGGGGAAGTCACATGCAGGAGATCCTCCGCAAGATATGAGATGGAGCTGATAATGTGGGGGTCAATCTCTCTAGAATTTAGATAGGTCCCCATGGTTGTTCGACTGCGGCAACATCAACCGTCCACCATAACGGCGATATTGTCGTGGTAGAGAGAGAAAACAAGGGACATCAGGCGGTCGGTTGGAGGGGATGGATGGTCCTAGAGGACGAGGTCACCAGAGAGAGCTGAGCCTCGCAGTTTCTGGCCGTGCACGGCCGGTGTCTGGGCCCTGCGCCGCCTGAGGACGGTCGAGCTGCGTTGGGTCCGTATGGAGCGGCCACTGTAGTGCGACAGATGGGGAACACCTCCGGCGGCTGCGACACACCTCCAGACTAGGCCACTGTGCCCCCTTCAGTAGAGCATCCGCCTCCCCCAGCATTATCTTTCATTGGCTGGTGCTTCCTGAGCTCCTAAGTTGCTGCGTCAGAGGAGACTTCTTCCACAGGATCAGACTTATCTTTGAATCAATGTTCAATGTCAGACGATCGCGCGTCAGTCGCGGCTCTGTCTGTCTCTCTCTCCCTTCGAATTCACGTCATTATCTCTGTTACTAACGTTCGCAAACTAGTAGTTTATGCCACCTACTCTCTCTCTCTCTCTCTCTCTCTCTCTCTCTCTCTCTCTCGCTAAGTACCTATTTATAGAATTGGAGAGCCTTCTTCAGGGATAATCATCTTCGTCAACAGCCATTCCTCACGAGAGAACCATCGACGGCGGAATTCTTCGCGAATGAGCTCCACCTGCTGCATGGCGGCGCTCCGGGAGGTGGCTCTCGGCGCGCGCGGCGGTGTTAGGCAAGCGGTTGCTGTAGTGCGACAGTCGCCTATCGCCATCACTGCTGCCCACCACGGCAGGCCTGAGACAAAATTATAAAAATGGAGTAGATCACGAGGGAGGGCGATGGAGGCTCTTGCGCTGAGGCGGCGGTGGGCGGTGCAGTCGGTGGAGTTCTCTAGTTACCCACCTGGTGCGAAATACTTCACCATCGGACACAATCACGTGTGGGTGCCCATGCAGGCGGGGGCATCCCATGTAGCATGGTCCACGGAAGAGGAGAGAGAAAGTAGAACCCATTCAATAGCCCTCTGATGGCGACCTGCATTTGATTGCGAGAGGGTAGACGACGGGCGGCGCGGATTGTTCCATTAAACTCTCTCTCTCTCTCTCTCTCTCTCTCTCTCTCTCTCTCTCTCTCTCTGTGACGGTTCATTACAGCCCTCTCCTCTTATTCTTATTCGTTAGGTGATGATGACTACGACGACGACGATTATGTTTTGGAAGAAAAGGGAGGATGAAGGAGCACATGGATGATATAAGGAGCAGTCTCCTCTAGCCTCCCAATCTCCACGGATCTCCGCTCACCAAACTTCGCATATCGACACGGGGAAATGCCGTTGTTTCTCTCTCACACATGGGAGAGCGACCAGCTCCAAGAAGAAGTGCCTTCCTCTCCCCATATGGAGAATCATCCTCGCACCGGGAACCCCATGTGGATGTCTACAACCAGCCGTCACATGTATGTCTTTCAGGTCCACTCTCTCTCTCTCTCTCTCTCTCTCTTGCGTGCTGTGGAGTGCAGGGATTAGGGTTTGTCACAAAGACGAGGGCATTATGTGAGTCGTCCGGACAAGAGCATCCTTATCCCACCAGAGGAGCCCTCTCGGCTCGCACATGGCCCGTTTTAAATGAACGGGCCCCACATTTTTGTGGCCCCCCGCAGGAGGTGGGGACGTGGCTTGTAGGCGCACGGCCGCGTCCCGTCCCGTGGATGCACCCTGGTCAGCCACATGGCAGGCGCCTCCCCGGGCGACCCCGGTCGTCGTTCGGCGCCTCCCCCGCTGGGCCCACTCTTCCGGGCCCAATTCCCGCCGCTAGTCAGACTTTCCCTAATAAACTAAAATCTTAAAACACTCCTATCACATTTTTAGACCATCTCTCTCTCTCTCTCTCTCTCTCTCTCTCTCTCTCTCTCTCTCTCTCTCTCTCTCTCTCTCTCTCTCTCTCTCTCTCTCTCTCTCTCTCTCTCTCTCTCTTTCTCTCTCGCTCTCTCTCATCCGGAGGGGGGCCAGGAGCCCATGGGCCGGCGATGGGCCCGCCATGTGGCCCAGATGGAAGGGGGTACGTAGGGCCCACCTTCCCTTAATATATGATGTCCCGGGGTAAGGCTTTTCACAGAACCCCATCCCCCGCCCCCTATCTCCTCTTTTCTTGCCCCGCGCTCTCCAGGCAAGACCTTCTCTCCTCCCGCTTCCACGACCGGTCTCTTCTCCTTCGACACACCTCTCTCTCTCTCTCTCTCTCTCTCTCTCTCTCTCTCTCTCTCTCTCTCTCTCTCTCTCTCTCTCTCTCTCTCTCTCTCTCTCTCTCATCCATTTTCCACAGTCGTCTTGGAGAAGGAAAGAGAACGGCAGTGTTTTTAACTTGAGCGAAGGGGAGATGTCGAGCGCGTGGACCGGCAGGGCGAGGGCCACCGACGACGACATCAAGGAACTCGTTGCCAAGCTGCAATCGCTCCTGCCGGAGGCCCGCCGGCGGAGCTCCGGCAGGGTATGATTCTCTACTGCTCCCCTTTCCATTCTCTACTTTGTTCTCTCTTCAGCGTGAAGAGAGGCATGCGGAGATCGTCATCTTATTGTTGTGCACGCAGAGGAACTTGAGAGGGGAGAGATAGAGAAAGAGAGAGAGAGAGAGAGAGAGAGAGAGAGAGAAAATATGTATTGGTGAAGCATTGGGTGTAATGCCGTCTTACTCATGCGCAGACATCGGCAGCGAAGCTACTGAAGGAGACGTGTAGCTACATTAAGAGCCTGCAGAGAGAAGTGGACGACCTCAGCGACCGGCTATCCGACCTCATATCTGCCATGGACGATAATAGCGCGCAAGCAGAGATCATCAGGAGTCTTCTCAGTTAGAGAGAAAGCGAGAGAGAGAGAGAGAGAGAGAGAGAGAAAGAGACCGCTGCCGCCGCCCATTGGAGCAGGAGCAGGCAAGTCGACCTCTAATCTCAAGCTGAGGTTATATTATAAGATATGCATCCTGTCAGTGATGCCCACTAGAAGTAGTCCCCGTACATTTTCTCCTCCGTCTCTTCCTCCCCCTCCCTCTCTTCTCTCCCTCTCCCCCCCTCCATCTCTCTCTCTCTCTCTCTCTCTCTCTCTAGTAGAGAGGCTTGATGCCCACACACGGCTACCCTCCCTGCAGAGTATGGAGAGTCGTTATTTACTACCATTGTGTAAGACCCTAGCTGGTGTAGACTAGTTCATAACTTTGCTATTTTCCTCCTGCTGCTGCTGCTACTGCTGCTCTCTCTCTCTCTCTATCTCTCTCTCTCTCTCTCTGGCTCGCTGGCTCGCTGTAGTGGAGAGGCTTGATGCTCACACACGGCTACCCTCACCACAGAGGATGGAGAGTCGCTATTCACCACCAATGTGTAAGACCAAAGCCGGTATAAACTAGTTCATAATCTTGCTATTTCCGTGCAGCTCTCTCTCTCTCTCTCTCCCTTAACAGGTGGAGTTGGTCCTCTGGAGAGAGCTATGGGCCTCACGGAGATATGAACCGGAGGGGGGGTGGCTGTCGTTTAATTTCGATATCCTTCCCCCTTATTTCCTCTTTATTAAGGAGATGTTATCGTCGACCGCGTCGTCCTCAGCCTTCGTCTTTTCCTGCCCGTTTTTAAAGCAGAGAGAAAGGGACCCTCTGTGGGACCCACTTCCCCCGGCTTCCACACGGCGACCCCGGAGACAGCGGGCCCCACAGCCCCAAAAATCCGGCATTTACCGAACGACACGTCACCACGGTAGGTTTGTCCCGCGGCTGCGAGCGAGTCCACCGCCGTAGAGTGGTCCGCTTACGATGTTCAGTGATCTTCGTCATTAATGTCACATTTGAAGAAATAAATATTTAATTATTCGGCGCAGGTCCCATTTTTGCCCACCAATCTTGAGTTCAATGACCCTTTTTCCCATCTTTAGTAAAATAAAAATAAAAGGTGGCTTTCCCAAACGATGGCATCACGCTGATCAGTGCATGGATTTCCATATTTAGTATTCCATCAACTGATCCGATTTTTCTAAAGTGGAGCGATATATCGCCGTTTTTCAGGTGCAATTGTTGTCGAAACGGCACTCGGAATCTTCTGTTCGCCTAACAAGGCCTACGCGTGTAATGAATGGGTTCTGAGCGAATAAGGGGGGGGGAGAGAGAGAGAGAGAGAGAGAGAGAAAGAGAGAGGGGAGATCGTCAACTGATCACCTTGGACAAATTTGATTGGAGTTTACGAAGATAGACGACAAGGAAATCAGAAAGCGAGTGAATACAGGGCATGGGATGTCAAATCAGATAACCCCTTGGATTTCTGTGGCCGTTGGACGAGGATACTCTTGGGACTGTTCTTCCGGGTTTAAAAAATTCCTTGATAGTTACCCCAATTATTCTTGAGTTTCCCCATCTGACGTCTCATCTTCTCCCCCCCCTCTCTCTCTCTCTCCCTCTCTCTTCTCTCAACCGGCGGCATCAATGCATGGATACGCCCAAGAGAATCATCTCTGCATGTGCTCCGGTTCCTTCGTACTAACACTAGAACATCCTGCAGATCTCCGCAGAGGCGGATGTCTCGGCAAAAGATGGTTTGAAGGATAGAGAGAGATAGAGAGAGAAGAGAGAGAAGAGAGAGAGAGAGCTGTCATAGCTTCATTCCCACAAACCATCATCTGATAGAAGGAGCGGGGATGGCGCTTGCCCCGTTTCTACAAGGGAACTTGTCCGCTCTGAGCTCACATTCACGTGACCCCTGCTGTGGACTAACTCCACTGCCTCAACATATGAGGAAGCTCAGCCATGGCCTCAGCCCGCCGTTAACGAGCCACGTGACAGAACCTGCTCGCACCCATTTCCACCCGCCCCTACTGTACATGCATGAATCGAGTCCATGCATGAGAAACTCTCACGTATTCTCTCTCTCTCTCTCTCTCTCTCTCTCTCTCTCTCTCTCTCTCTTCATGTGCGAAGGATTAGTAAGCGAGTAATGACCCTATGGAAACGATTATTGTCTCCTCCCTAGTCTAAACGGTCCATGGAAGATTAATCGAGTTTTGCCTATGTATAGTAGCCGAGCAGTCACAGAGAGAGAGAGAGAAAGAGATCGTCGGCACTCGGCGATTCATCTTCCACGGACTGTTCAGAGTAGGGAGGAGACAATAATCGTTTCCACAGGGTAATTACTCGCTTACTAATCCTTCGCACATGAAGAGAGAGAGAGAGAGAGAGAGGTCGTCGGCACTCGGCTCATCCCATATTTTCTGCATTTGGGCATTATCATCAAACCAAGAGAAGTAAGAAAACAGGATCCAGTCGAGCTCTCAAAGAGCTGAATTTGGTGATGTATTGTAAATTGAAATGTGGGAAAAAGACTCAAATAAAATTCTTTGTTGTTGGGAATCCCTTAAGCACTTGAGGAATCCGAAAGCCCAAGAGGGTGGGCCAGAGCGCTCCCACTCAACATGCTCCTAAGAACCCTAAACCCACCATACTCCATTGAAACACTTTAGTCCATCCGCCCACAGTTTATAGGGATGAATCTTGGGGTGTCCCACATTCTCTCCCTCGTCATCTGCCGAGGATTGACTTCAAAGATCTCAGGCGGGCAGTGAAAAAAGTCTAAGAAGAGGACTAAATTTACGATGTTTCCACCGACACTACTTTCTTCGCAAAGGAACAGACGGCGAGAGAGCTTCAGACAGCCGCCGTCTTGTCGCCTGGCGGGGAGCACGGCAACTTCCCCCGCCGTGAGCACCGGGCGGCGCCGCCAATCCTCCGCTACCGTTGCGCCGCCGTCCGTACGCCCTCCGCCATAGCTGCCTCCAGGCGCTGGAAGCCGAGGAGACGTAGAACGGGGGGCGATGGCGATATCGGGAAAGGAATGCCTATAAAACGTGTAGACCGGTCTTACGTGGCAGACAGAGGCTGTATCCATGTGGACGGCGAGCTAAGACCGGTGGGTAAGCAGTCAACTTGGGCCGCGGTGTCCCCATGGGCCTTGCCTATGCCACGTAGCTGACTGCTGGGCCACTGCAGAAAGCTGGACCCTCATTCCATTTCAGCTCGGCCCAATATGAAAGAGATACAGACAGCGAGAGAGAGAGATGGGAGAGAGGGAAGAGAGAGAGGGAGAGCTTCAGATAGTTGCAGCGGATGGACAAGGGAAGGGGGCGGGTGTTAGATAGAGATGGGAAGAGAGAGAGAGAGAGAGAGATGGATAATTGACAGAGTAATATCAGACGCAAGTAAATATCTAATGTTTCACTAAAACTAATGCAGATGAGTCAAAGCACAAAGTAGGAAGAAGAGACATAGCATCCAACCAAAAGTAAACAGCTAGGATCTGGTCAAGGTCAAAGCAATCACACTGACTCGTGACGAGGGGATCCCCACATGGAGAGACAAAAATGAAGGGAAGGGAAGTGCCGCTGGAGAATCGAAACCATCCATCTGATCTCAAGGCTCACTCCTCGTCCTCCTCATCGTCACCTCCGGCGGCCTTCTTGGCGGCAGCCTTGGCGTTCTTCCGCTTCACCCTACCTGGGCGGCCGCCGCCAAATGGGCTTGTGAGAGAGAAGTCAATGTGCTTCTGGGAGTCAACCCTCACCATGAACGATGCGATGTTCACCACCTGCCTTCCAACCCTGCAACCGGGTTGACCGGGGAAGAAAAAAATCCAACTTCAGCCAAAATCACCACATACGCTGAAATCCTCAGCCTCCAAAAACTGACTAGCAGCACAAGAACAGTTGGATCTTCTTTGACTAATCTTACAGGATCCCAATATTGTATTCAACAATTACGACAGAGAGATCTGAAGATCCAAAAAATCAGGGCATCATTATGAAAGAGTTTCGATGAAACTGATGAAGAAACTTCACAATAACGTAGCTGGCAACATTACTGCGCTACTTTGGGTCGCATGAATGCAGAGCGTCTCTAGCGATGGCTAAGCGAGTTGGGACAACACACCCTGTATAAGGTTCTCTTACACCCTCACAGCACTTCGTCTCTTCATCTATCCAGTGTGAGATTTGCAGACCAAATCCGGATTTAAAAGATGAGGTCAAAGACAAGCAGTGAAAACATTAGGAATGATGAAAAAATAGTGTGCAGGAAGGAATCATTAGAAAGCAGTGAACATATAGGATGGAGATTGAGAAGAGAGAAGAAGAAATCAGTGCCTCAGTGCAATAGCAAAGAATAGAAAGACAAAGACAAATTCAATGAACACCAATGACTATTTCATTGGTGTGGAGCAGGTGAAATGAAGTGGAACTAGATGCAGCCAAGATAAGGCAGCCAACCTGATATGGCGCTGCCTAATGAGCACACGGGCATGGTGGATTGACTTGGCCATTCCAGACTTGAAGACAAGCGTCTGGAGACGCCGCTCGAGGAAGTGCTCCGGAGTCAACGCCAGGACATAATCAAGCTTGTTCTGGCTCTCATCCAAGAGCCCGTACCTGTTCATCCGGCGGAGAAGGGCCTCACCCTCAAAGATCCGCTTCTCATCCTTCTCATCAAGCTTCAGGAGTTCCTTTGCAGCATTACGGATGCGGCTCAAAGCATATTGCACCCTCCAAAGCTCTCTTTTGCATCGGAGGCCATATTCCCCCACAAGCTTCAGCTCTTGGTCCAGACGCTCCTTCTCGTAAGGGCGCCGGGGCTTCTTAAAGGTTTTCCCATCTGGAGAAGAGAAAGGATTTTTTTCTATTTTCATTCACACAAGCCATATATACAACACCTCATAGGCAGAAAAAAATGCAACGCCAGTGAAAGCAAGAAGTTTTCTACAATATTTTGATATTTGCATAGAAAACAACAGAACGTGTTTTCAATCAAGACTGGAAAAATATCCAGCAATCAACCTCAACTGGGGAGAAAAAATTGCATTAGATTTTGCAGCAATTAGGAGCCCCATAAAAGCCCTAAAAGATCATGTCTCCAGGTGACGCATTCCCTCCAAATGGAGAGCTAATGGCTCCTATGACTTGAAGACTTTAAAGAAAAAAGAGTATAAGCGTCTAGAGTGAGAAACACGCAGGCGCCAAGAAAAATAAACCGATCAGGATGGCCTCCATCTCGCCGGAAACCCTACATTCCTCGGTAGAACCGCCAAAATCTATACATCGTCAGCAGATCTACCACTAATACGCAGCAGCTGCAAGCGCCCTAACACTATATTATAAAACCTTCTAATCTACTAGTCCTCGAACGACGGTAGATCGTCATTGAAGCGCAAAAATACACGAACCAAATTCTCGAAGAATCGTAATACTCATAAAAATACATTCAGAGATGATGTGTCCCTCGTGATCCAGATCTAAGAAATGCCACCATGGAAAAGTAAGAAAGAAAGATAGATGCATAGATCCATAGAGCGAGCGAACGAGCGAACGAGAGAGCGAGAGAGAGAGAGAGAGAGAGAGAGAGAGAGAGAGAGAGAGAGAGAGAGAGAGAGCGCTTACAGTTTCGATAGAAAGAGACGTGCACCATGACTGCCCACCCTCCTCTCCGCCCCTTCTCCTACTCCCGGCAATGGCGCCCGCAGCCGCCCCGAATTCGCAGAGAAGCTCTTAAAACCCTACCTTTCACAGCCTTATGAGCGGTGCCACGGATATCGCATCTGGACCGTCCATCTATCCGTTCCAAATAATGGGCCGTTGGGCTCTATTAGGCCTGAGTGATGGATGGTCCATTATGAACGGCCCAGCTTCTGATGTAATCTTTTTTCTGGTAGCCCAATAAGATCTGGACCATTAAAAAATGGGCCCGCTTCACCTGAAATCTGACGTGGACTCAGCCCAATGGTCTCCTGGGGGCCGGTGGCCCGTTAACATCGTAGGGACAGGGCACCGAACCGACGCTGGACTCCCCACCGAACTTGACGTGGAGCGTCGAGTGAGCCAATTGTGGGCCCCACTCCGCACCAGCCCGGCTTATCCACGTCAGCGTCGCGGCGTCCGGTGCGAGGATCGGCCGTGGGATTGGGCCACGTGGAAGGCAAGTATTTAACCACCGAGACAGCGCGTATTCAGTATGGTGACGTGTAAGTGCGACACGTGTGGGTGCGGTTATTTCGTCAGTTTTTGTATTCGTCGCCGACTGCGTTTGTCTGTTCAGATTGCGGTTCCTGTCGGGATTCCGCATATCGCCGTCGGGGAAGATGCTTCGTCACCAGGGTGATTCGCGGCTGCTCTCTCTCTCTCCCTCTCTCATTCTGTCCCCTGGTTCTTCCAGGTTCTCTCTCTCTCTCTCTCTCTCTCTCTCTCTCTCTCTCTCTCTCTCTCTCTCTACTGTCATTTGTTCTCTTTCCAGAAATCCTCTCTCCGGCTTCCTCTCTAGTTTCTTGCAGGTTCCAACTGGAGACCTCTCTCTCTCTCCTTCCATATATCTCTCTCTACATACATATAAATCTGCATTTCTCGCCTTCGCCCGCAGCCGGCGGCTCCATGGCGTCTGCGACAGCGGTGAACATTGGGATGATGGACCCGGCCTACTTCGTCGGGAGGAACCACATCCTCTCCTGGATCAACACCTCCCTCCGCCTCAACTTCTCCCGCATTGAAGAAGTCTCTCTCTCTCTCTCTCTCCCTCTCCCTCTCTCCCTCTCTCTCTCTCTCTCTCTCTCTCTCCCTCTCCCTCTCTCTCTCTCTCTCTCTCTCTCTCTCTCTCTCTCTCTCTCTCTCTCTCCCCTCTCTCCCTCTCTCTCTCTCTCTCTCTCTCTCTCTCTCTCCCCCTCTCTCTCTCTCTCTCTCTCTCTCTCTCTCTCTCTCTCTCTCTCTCTCTCTCTCTCTCTCTCTCCCTCTCTCTCTCTCTCTCTCTCTCTCTCTCTCTCTCTCTCTCTCTCTCTCTCTCTCTCTCTCTCTCTCTCTCCCCGTCTCTCCCCCTCTCTCTCTATCTCTGTCGCTATGCTGACCATGGGTGCGATCCTTCTCCAGGCGGCTTCCGGCGCAGTGCATTGCCAGATGATCGACATGATCCACCCGGGCATTCTCCCAATGCACAAGGTCAACGCCTGCCGCCACCTCCTCACCTTCCCCCCAAGAATCATCGTTTTTCCCTCGTCCCCTCCAGGTCAACTTCGAAGCCCACGCCGAACACGACATGATCCACAACTACAAGCTCCTCCAGGATGCCTTCAACAAGCTTAACATTCAGAAGGTCCCTCTCTCTCTCTCTCTCTCTCTCTCTCTCTCTCTCTCTCTCTCTCTCTCTCTCTCTCTCTCTCTCTCTCTCTAAACCCCGTTGGGTCATCGGGCAGCATGTCGAAGTGAACAAGCTGGTGAAAGGGCGGCCGCTGGACAACCTGGAGTTCCTCCAATGGCTGAAGCGCTACTGGGACTCGATGAACGGCGGGGCGGTCAACGGGTGGGGGCCCTCTTCCTCTCTCTCTCTCTCTCTCTCTCTCTCTCTCTCTCTCTCTCTCTCTCTCTCTCTCTCTCGCTCTGTGCCTGGGATCCTCCTCATTCCCCCCCCCGGTTTCTCTCTCTAGAACCTATGATCCCGTGGAGAGGCGGAGCAAGCCCAGGAGAGAGCTCCGCCCCTCCAGAGCGCCCCTCCAGAAACCCCATCGTGCCCCCCTCGACGACCATCTCCAGCGGGAGATCAGATCCCTCAACGAACAGGTTTCTACCAGATTTTATTTGATCTTCCATCCTCAAAGTGTTTATGTCAGTTTTTGATGAGTGAAAGAACTCTGTTCGTGCTGGTTTTTTGACTGTGATGGTTACAGATTTCGGAGCTCGAGCTCTCGGCAGACTGCACGGAGAGAGACAGAGACCTCTACTTCGCCAAGCTGCGGGGCATCGAGCTCCTCTGCAGGCGGCCCGAGCTGGAGAACCTATCGGTGGGTGATGAAGAGGAAGATGACGATCATGGATCCAGAATTAGGGTTTCCCCACCGTTGACTTCTTCTCATCTGGTAAAAGATTCTCCCGCAGATGGCGGCGGCGGTGCGGAAGATCTTATACGCCTTCGACGCCGCCGAGGGTTCTCTCCCCAGCTGACCCCAGAAAACTCCGCCTGGTCAATTGAACTCCTACCAGCTGCAAGGGAAGAAGATGATGATGATGGTGTCGCCGCCGGTGATGATGATGATGATGATGATGATGACGAAGAGGGAAAAAGGGAGGGATTATACCGGCTTGGTCCTTGTTAGAAAATTTATATACTTTTCTGTCCTCGCGGGGTGAATTCAATAACTATTACACATGATTCCAAACCAGGTTACAGTCGCTAATCTGGGCCGACACCCTAGGCCCGCCCTGGGCGCAGCTGGCGGTGGCGCCGCCGCTGACTGGCGCTGCTGACTTGTCTTGGTCAGAACAGAACCGCAAAACCTGGGTAACCTCTCGATCAGCCCACTTAGCAGGCTTCCGTCCGGCCGCCGCCGCCGCTGCTGCTGCTGCTGCTGGTGGAGCTGTCGCTGCCATCGCCGCCGTTGCCGCCGCTGTGCTGGCCGTCCTGCGCCGCCGGTCCGAGCTGCAGGGCGAGGATCTGCTCCGGCCAGGAGTCCGCCGGCGTCGGGTATCTCGCATGGGGTCTGGTCACCTGAGAGGGGAGCTTCGGGGGGGACCCCGGCGGCGGCGGTGGCGCGGCCGCCTCCGTAGAGTAAGCGGCGAGTTCCTGGTTGATGGGGATGACGTAGACAGGTCCGACCACCGCCGCCGCCGTGGAGGGCTGGGGCGGCGCCACCTCCGCGCCGCCCCTCCACGCGGGTTTCGACCTGCCCTTCTCCTTGAGCTCCTCCTGCAGCTTCCGGATCTCCTGCTCCAGCGCGAGGTTCTCGTCCATCAGCTCGCTCTTCTCCATCGCCACCTGCGGGGAAGTTGCGGATCAGCAGGGGACAAGAAGAATGGCAGCATAATCTCCACTTTCTACGGCAGACGATAATCGGAGAACGATTTGGTCAACCTAGAACAAGATCGAGCCAGTTTTTGGACGGAAAGACTCACGAATTGAGATTCTGTGGCCAAGGAGGTATTTTCTCTCCGGAGGGACTCCACCTGCGAGAGCATGTCCCGGAGCAGCCGAGCCGCGTCGCCTAATACAGAGGCCTTGCCATTGTTGTGCCGACCCGGCTCTGATTGCATAGTTTTTTGGGAAATATTAATGCACTCACAGAGGCGAATGATTAAATAAATGCGCCACTGAATCACCCAAAGTTTATTCGATTCGGTAAATTCATGGGGCGGCCGATCTGACGGCAGAACCCACGAGCTGTAATTTTGGCACAAAAAAAGAGAAAAAAAAAGGCGATATTGTAAGAATAACCCAGTTACCTAGAGCCTGACCCAGCTCAAGAAAGAGGTCATTCAGATGCTCACGCTTCAGCTTCTCTCTCTCAGCTTTGTGGACTTTCTTCGGAACTCTCCGTTGACTCCTCCTCTCAGGCCTGCGTCATGAAAACTTTCAGACACCAGAACAATAACGAGCGAAATAAACCTACGATTTAATCCAAATCATCATCATCATCATCACCCCTCAGCAGTGCATCAAACGCCATCCAGCTAGATGGGCCCCACATAAACCCTATCCACATGGATCCACGGGGTTCAGATACAGCTGGCAGAACGGATTAATCACAGCCTGTGGAAATCCAATGCCCCTCATACATGGCTGGCGACAGAAAATGGATAGATTCCAGAGGTAGCAACGCCGGGCTCCTCGAAGCTCATAATTTCATGTATTATATAAAAATGTCGGATTTTCTCTTCAAAATGGAAATTCTTTAACCGAAAATGTGAGAATCATAGTTATTCCTTGATTTGAGGGTTTGACTGTTTCTAAAGGAAGATTCTTCAACGCCACACATCTAACGAACCTCAAAAGGCCGACCAAAAATGCAGAACCATATGCGTGAGTGAACCATTGATAATCTTGCAGACAGACAGTAATGGTTGACTTTTTTCTTTTCAAGGAAAACCCATCCACCGGTCGCCATCTGGATCCCTTCCGAACAGCCCACCTACCACAGTGTGGTGGAATCATGAAGTCGAGAATCACAGTTATCTTAAACGTTAAAAGGTATGGAGAAGATCAGATTGGAATTCCTAAGAGAAAATCAGGGCACAACGGCTTCTGAGAGACATCGATCGTCACTAGAAATATTTGCCAAGGTTAACATGGATATTTGCCAAGAACATTAAATCCGTGGGTAGAAATGATGAAGGATGACGGCCGACCTTCCGATGTGCTTTTCAGACATGAGCGCTCCGTCATCGCCCACCGGAGTGGGGAAATCAGAGACCATAGTCATACCCCGAACCACTCTGTTCACAAGAACGGCTCCCTCCTGAGAAGAATCAGAAGCCAGAATCATAAGAACCAGATATCATAAGTTTCGTCCGGGCAAAATTGGGAGCACAGGGGAGGAGGATGCCTCTCTCTCCGATCACAGCCACTCATATCATACAGTAAACATGGAAACAGAGAGGGGAACGTCCGGGGCGGAGTGTCCTCCGTTTCCCACCTCGAGCAATAACCCCTCAGATCATCGGGAAAAGCTCAGAACGAACCAACGCAGAGAAAGCCTCGTCGATCATCGCCCAAATTTCATCACGAAACAAAAAAAAACGCAAGCAATGAAATCAAAGAATCACCCGCTGTAAATCCCCAAAGTCCCCGCAAGACCTAGGGTTTGCAGAAGAGCAGATCTCGCCACAAACCTCGATTAGGAGCCTATGAGCCCCTGCGAGTGGATCGCTCCGCCTACCGTCTTGATCGAAAACGCGAATCGGGCAGCCGGCGGGGCAGACTCCAGCACGCGCGCCGCCCAGGAAGAGCGGCTAGAGAGAAGAGGTCTAGAGAGAGAGAGAGAGAGTCCCCAGCACAGAGAACGAGGAGCACGTTGCCCAGCAAGAACGGGTAGAGAGAGGTCTAGAGAGAGAGGAGAACGAAGCAAGAACCGGTAGAGAGAGGTCTAGAGAGAGAGAGAGAGAGACCCACAGAAAGACGGAGGGAGCACATAGCAAGAACGGCTAGAGAGAGGTCGAGAGAGAGAGAGAGAGCGGGGAGCCCCGCGTGTGGCGAGCACCCTCCCCTGCCACGTTCGGACACGTGGCCCGCGCCGCCAAACGCGTGCCTGCTCTCGCTACCCGCGGTCTCCATTTCCACGTCAGGACAAACCGCCTTACGAGCCCCTCGTCATGGGTCAAGACCAGATCCCATAGAGCGAAGGATAAGCGGTGGTCATTGGGTCGGCCCAGATACGTCTCTCCTTGGACCAAATGGATAATGCACTGGGCCCAATACTATAATGGGCTGATCACGTGCATAGCCCATTTAGGAAGCCCAACCAGCCCAAATAGAAAATAACGGCTTGGGCCAGACCGAAATAGATGGGCCATTTCGAGTGAACTGGCTGCCTCCTTCGATGGGGCCAACGAATATTTCCAAGCAGGTCGGCCTTCTTTATCAGATTAATGGGCCTAATGTCCATTTTTCGATGGGCCGGATAATTGGGGACCACACAGCCTGGCCAGGCCCAGTTTCTTTCGGGATCGGGCCCAATAATTGTACAATCGAAGTCAACTCATGATTAATTAAAAAGCCAAGTTCATCTAGGGCAACACATGATAAAAATAATTAAAAGTCAAATAAACAAGAATCTGGAACCGAGGATTGGTCAATCCAGTTGATCTTAACCAATAATGGAAGCAGCTGAGGCCCAGGGCAGGCTTGTGGATCCCAAATTATTTAGTGCGATATAAGAATAGGTAAATGAGGGGTGATAATATCAAACAAAACCCCGTATTTATCAATATAATGGCCATAAAACCCTAATGGTTTGGATTAAAAATAAAAAAGAGGTGATGCATACTCAATTTGTGATCAAAAGTATATGACAATCTATGAATGTCAACGACTATGAATAAAGTTTTGTTAAATATTGATAAATAAATAAGCGTGGGATCTAAGGTAATACCGGACTCGATTGAAGCTTGAGCATGTTGTGTCAAGCTTCAGAGTCAACTAAGACCTCATCAAAAGCATAGTCTAAGTCAACTCGATATAAAGCATAGGTCTACCCTAGCCCTGTGGTCTACTGATTGAGAGAGAGAGAGAGAGAGAGAGAACCGGCCCAGCAAGACTGACGAATTACCCTCCCCATTGACTCTCCCGGTTGGTTGACCTTGGGTGGTTGACGAGATCATCAGTATGCCAGCGTTATAGCGCAGCCTAGGGCATGGTTTTCGGGGGGGGATACCCTTGTGTGGGTAGCTGCCAGGAGGGCTACCCTTGGTGACGAGCTTCCTGGAGTTTTGCGATTAGACGAGCGCCCTGCAACCTTATTAGCTCTGGCCAGGCTGTGGTTGCCAGAACACGACGAGGTTTCTCTCTTAGTTTATTGTCCAGGGCAGAAGATACAGATCAGCCTGCACTTTTTCCTTCCCCCGGAGCATCTTCCAGCAACATTATCGCACATTCTTTCCGATTTATTTATTTCTCTCGCCACAAGGAGGTCCTCGTCTTTGTCGTCGTTTCCCTCATCCTGTTTTTCTCTCAATCCTTGTACTTTTTACTTTTGCTACGAGCACTTCTTCTTCTTCTTCTTCTTCTTCTCTTCTTCTTCTTCTTCTTCTTCTTCCTCTTCTTCTTCTTCTTCTTCTCTTCTTCTTCTTCTACTACTACCACTACTACTACTACTACTTCTACTACAACTACTACTATTTCTGTTACTTCTACTTATTCTATCACTACAGCTACTGCTTCTTCTTCTTTAATTCTTACTCCTCCTACTTCTACTACCACCATCACCACCACCAGTATTACTAATACTTCTTACTACTGCGACCACCACCACCACCACCACTACTACTCTTACTTCCTACTGCTGCTAATACTACTACAACTGCCAGCGCCACCACCATCACCAGCTCTACTACCACAACCACCACTATTACTACTGCACCCCATTCCACCTACTACCCCCTATACATCTCCCACGCTTCTTCGTCGTATCATTCTCCCCCCGTCTCGATGGTTTGGTTCGCTTTGTTCTTGCCGTGAACAATCCGATTGAACCCTAAAACTGAGCGTGACCTGGGGAAGCCATCCGCTTCCCCCTCTCTTATTCTGAGCGATTAAACTCCCACTGGACTGGACGAGATCTTCCTGACCCTCAATAGCTCCCCTCAGAGGAGGGAATCATGAGGGTCGAATTTAGCCAAGTCGGATACCACCGAAGCTTTGTTGGTCTAACCCCCTCACAAAGAAGATCCCGAGAGTGTGATTCAAAAGACCCCGCATCGGTTCCATCAGTGAACCCTCGATGAGACGAATGCAGAGAGAAAAGATAGCATGAGGATTGAAGAGAGAGGTGACTCAGACCGCAGCCAGCCATAGGGATGGGAAGGACATAAATGCGGACATGTTTTAATGATCCTTATGGGATCCGAGAGTAAATGCAGTGAGAGGGTCTCTCTGTGACATGACCAGTTCCCCCTCCCTCCCGCTCTTCTTCACGCTTCTTCCTCACTCTTCTTTTTACCCACATGACCAGCACTTGCAGATCTGAAACTTCTGCAGAAATCCACAGACAGTTCTTTTGGAGCCTTTAACGCTCCCTGCGGGCAGCTGGCGAGACCTGTGAGGGCCTTGTACTTGAGAGGAGTGCTAAAAAGGGGCGAAAACCTCCAGTGGAGATGGGTCTGTGGAATCTCGGGTTGGTGTGTTCATTCCCATGCAAGAGCGAGAATAGACGCTTCCTCGTTGGGGCATACCCTACCCTTAAGCAAGAGATTCTCTTATTCTCATTTGAGATAGAGTAAGAAGTTTCAGAGATGTCTGAAGGCCTAACTGTAACCTCCTATTCTCATTGTTTTTCTTCTCTCTCTCTCTCGCTAACGATGCCTGTTAGCGACTCTGTCTATCAACTTCGCCTCGTTTTCTACTCGAAGAAGTCCAAATGATGGAGAAATTTTCTGTTCTTGAAGACTGACGCGTTGACCAGCGTGATCTTCGATAGGCAATATCCATTTGACTTCTGACTTCAGATACTAACCTTTGAAACCCCTTTTCATTCTTTCCCGCAGAAGAGGATTGAGAAAAGGGGGAATAAAAGTGAAAACACAGGACTTCGCCTGATTTCCTCCTTTGAAGAACGATAGTGGATGGCGTGAAAACCCATGAAAAACTCAAGGAAGATCAACCGGAGGTACTGCAACTCATTGTAAGAACAAGCGACCTCCCCCCTCCCTCCCCTTTTCTCCCCCTTCCCTCCCATAGAGAGCCGTCGGATGGGTCATGTGACAACTTTATTATGCGGCAGAACAACCGACAGCTACTCGTGTTGCCCACCAGCAGCTTGTCTTCATAGGGAGACGATGAGCTGCTGCTGTTGTTGTTGTCTTGGCCTTTCAAGGACCTTGTGTGCTTCCCCGATGGTATGAGACCCAACAGTGCAACAAAGACAAACTCCAGCCAAAACGAGTTATTGAGTAGCTGTTCTCCATAACAGTAAAAACTGGGGCATCTTCTCGCAGAATGACAGCCGAAGATCGGCTAGAAATAGATATAAGTCCTCAATGGACGAAGAGAAGAGGGCGTGGATATTGCTCGCGATCGTGTAGGTTTTTGGAATCCATCACTCGTTGACGAAGAAAATTGAAAGGTCCCTTGGAACTTTCTCAAAACTTACTAGCGGAAATCAGATGGATATAGGTCTTCTGATGAGAAAGAGAAGGAAGTATGGATTGTCATCGATTATTGTTAGATAGCATGCATGTGGGTTTTGCAATACGGCCCTCATTCATAAAGAAAAATGTAGCCAATTACAGGCGGAAGTCCGCTGGATATGGGTCGTCATTGGAGAGAGAGCGAAAGAGAGAGAGAGAGAGAGAGAGAGAGAGAGAAGGGATGGACCATTATTCATCATAGTGAGAGCATAAACCCTTGAGAATGCATCACTGACTGATAAAGAAAGATAAAAGCTTCCCTAGCCCACATCAGCAATCATGTTATCTTTCCTTAGATTCTTTGGTTTGACCTACTGTTGGTCTCGTCACGCCCCACCCGACCATTTAAAAATGCACTAAAAAAATTCATTTTTTAGGGTCTAGCAAGAATGAGAATGGGTGTGCAGAGTTTGGTAGGGGGTGGTGGTTTTGTTCGAGGAAAGGGATACCCTTGTCTAGTTCGTCTACTCTCTCTTCCCATATATTATGCTATAATTAATTCATAATCGCACCAAGTGAACCCATATGATATCTACAAGCAAAATATTATGGAAAAAGAAAACCAACATGATCGCTGGATGCATGCCGGCTCCCCCGTTGACCAAACCTAAGTGAGGGAGAATATCACTTCCCACAATTTCTTGAAGAGAGTCAAATCGACCGAGAAAAGGGTATGGCTGTGTGGACTAAAGAACACTGGATCGGAATCAAGTCGATCTTCATTATATCACAAGAACTCAAACCCTAGAACGAGGGAAAGATGGAGGAAGAAGGAAGAAGGAAGAAAACGTGATTAACCATCAGCTCTCTCTCTCTCTCTCTCTCTCTCTCTCTCTCTTCTCTTCCTCTCCCTCTCTCTCTTCTCTCCCTCTCCCTCTCTCTCTTCTCTTCCTCTCCCTCCCTCTCTCTCTCTCTCTCTCTCTCTCTCTCCCCGTCCCTCCCTCCCTCTCCATCCCCAGGCCCAAACCCCATTATCTTTGAAAATCTTGATAAAAAAATGTCTTGCATGTGTATTGCCAGATGTTTATACGCATGGATCAAATTCAAAAAATATAAAGAGAACGATGAAAATGGAGAAAATCGTTCGGCGTGACCATCACCATCTAGAATATTGCGGGGGTTTGATAAGATCAGGAGGCTACGAGTTACTCGTACTCATGGTTTCAAGCCGGTCGCTACCGCCGCCGCCGCCGCCGCCGCCGTGCTGCTGCTGGTGCTGATGTTGGGACCCTGTGGGCACCTGTTCGGAACTCGAGCTTGCTCCACCGCCGCTACCTGCCACGGGCAGCTGCCTGTAGGCGTTGAGCGCCGCCAGGATGCCCATCTGACCCTCGACTCCGCCGCCGACTACCGAGCCTAGGCCCAGCTGCTGGCTGGGAAGAAGGGCCATTGGCCCGGGGAAGTTCATGAAATGTAGCCCTTCCCTTGGCATGGATCCCCTGAACATGGTGGTGCCCCCCACCGGTGGGAAAGTCCATATGGAGTCTCCTGCAACTCCCCCGGCGTTGGTCGGATTGGTGACCATCCACAGCGTACCCGGCATCTGCCCGTGACCCGAGAGCTGCCCGAAACCCGCCATTTGTGTCTGTTGCTGTTCGTGTTGGTGTTGGTGTTGGTGTTGGTGTTGGTGTTGTTGTTGTTGTTGTTGTTGTTGTTGTTGTTGTTGTTGTTGTTGTTGCTGCTGCTGCTGCTGCTGCTGCTGGGAAGCTTCCTGTTCCCACCGGCGCTTTCTCGCCGAGTTCGGATCCAAGTCGGGCGGCACCTCAAGGCCACTGGCGTGGAAATTTAGCAGCGCGGCAGTGGAGGGCCCCTCCCAATCGACACCGCGCATGCGTAGGGCGGGAGTATGCGGGCCGGCGAGGGCGGCGTTGAAGAAGTTGGCACGGAGGTGCGATGGCGCCGACATGCTGGAACCGGAGCTGCGGAGGGAGATATTGAGGGAGGTGAAGTTCGCGGGGATCGTGCCGGTGCCGGTGGCGGCGATGATGGCGGGCTCCGCCTGCTGGAGGAGCCACTCGATGGTCTCGCCGTCGGTCTTGTGACCGAGCTCGCGCGTAAGCTGGAAGACGCGGGCGGCGCACGTTGCCGGCATGCGGATACGGCGGCCGCGGCCGTCAACCTTGGTGTGGCGGTCCTTGGTGGAGCTCCGCTTGGGTGGCGGCTTCTTGGGGGGCTCCACGTGGACGAACTCGTGGGGCGCGGCTGGGCCTGGCCCTGGGCGGGCAACGGTGACCTCGGAGGAGGACATGGCGAGGGAGGGATACCCGGAGCTGGAGCATGCATCGTCCTCCTTCTTCTCCAGGAGTTGCAGAGGGAAGTTGGGCCGCCTGCAGGGGTCGCCCTCCATTTCCTCCAACTCTCACATGTGATGATCCTTCACATCCTCTTCTTCCCCCGGAGCCGACCGGATTCCCACGAAGACTCTTCTCAGTATTTAGACGAAAGAATCAAAATTTGTTGGAAGAACAACTTCTCCCAAGCTCCGCCTACTGGATTTTTGTGAGGGAGAGGCACACCGATTATGAACCAGATGCAGAAGCCAGTGAGATCAAAAACCTAGAGAGAGAAAGGGGATGATGACGAGGTTTGATGCACTATATTCGGCCAAAAAGATTGCTGGGGAGGAATCGTCGAGGTGCACGGCTTGACAGACGAATCTGACTGGATTTATGTGGAAAATCACAAGACAGGCAGTTCAAGTGAGGTATTTTCCCCCGAGAAATTGGAGGAAAGGAGATCAAACCATGGCCTGACCAGAAAATCGATCGCACTGTCGCATGATCGAACTCTGAGGGATCTCGCGAGAGAAAGGGAGCCAGCAGGTATACTGTCCCGGGGTCAAAATTGTTCGATAACAAATCCAAATCATGGAATACTGGTAGTGGATATGGACGGAGAAAGAAGGAACCGAGAGAGAGAGAGAGAGAGAGAGAGAATCTGTGGTGGAGGGTATGTATGCGCTTACCAGGTGCTCACCTGCTGGAAGGGAGGGTCTCAGCCGGCAAGCATCAGAGGAAGGGCGGGAGTGGGGAGGGGGGGGGCCGCGGGAGAGAGGGGAAGGGATAAGGGGTGGAGGTAAAGCTTCAAGCGACAAATCCAACGACGAGAATTATATGGGCTTCCAAAAGCGGACGATTTTTCGTGGAAGTTTGTTTGCTTTAGCTGCTTAATCTCTCTGTCTCTCTCTCTGTCTCTCTCTCTCTCTCTCTCTCTTCAAACCCTTATTCTCCCCTCCTCTCTCTCCCTCGCTTCTTCACTGCAGGCTATTCTTCTCTCTCAATTCTCTCTCACACCTCTCTGTTCTCTCTCTTTCGTCTTTCAATTTAGTGCGTTATACCCCTTTTTACTGTGCCCGGGCAGTCACTTGGCTCAGACTCCACGTGCAGTGCTCTTTATCATTCAATCCATAAAGACAGTAGCGTTCGAGATGGAGACCCCCCAGTAAAAAAAAAGATGGAAAAATGAGGGACCGGAAAGAAAAAAAGGAAAGATAATCGTGCGGGTCCCGCCCACCTCCCTCCTCACTCTCTCTCTCTCTCTCTTGTCATCATCATTCCCTCCATCGCCTTTCGCTCACCATCTCTACCTCCTTTCGACTTTGCTTTCCCATGCCACGGCTGGATCCCACTGGCTAGGGCTAGGGTTTTGGAGCCCCCACTCTGGCTCCACTTCGGTGAAAAAATAAACCAGAGGTCAGCGTGAAGGCAAACCCTCTTTCACCACCGCCTGGCTCGCCCACCTTACCCAGAACTCCCTTTTCAGTTATTTTCATCCCTCTCTCTCTCTTGCTCTCTCACAAGGGGGTACGTGACGCTTGAAGGGGAACTTTTCAATGCGCTCTGGTTTACTACAAGGGTCTCATCGCTCTCCACCTCTCTCTAACCACGAAATGAAGCTCTACCCTCGTATTGAAGGAGAGAGACAATCGGCATATCGAGGGAGACAAGAGTCCTCCATGTCGCCGTCAGGAGAACAACACGGCCTTTGCCTCTCCGGGGAGAGCAACCCCAGAAGGCGCTGGCGATCTCCCCCAGAGATTCCATTTTCACACAATCAACCCCCCCCCTTTCAATCATCTCCCAGAGGGCTGGCTCCCACTCTAATCGAACTTACTGCCTAGGGTTTGTCCTTCCCTGGGGGCTCCGCCAGGTAGCAAGAGGACAAGGCAAGCTCTTCTACTGGATTCCCAGGGTTATCCCGTCCATGTTCTTCAGCATCCTGCGTGTTTCCTGCCACCATTCACAGCAATTTCCTGCCTCGAAGGGTCTGCATCTTGCAGGATTAACTGACCCAGACCTCCTCCATTAGTCCTCTTACCCACCTCTCGTTTTCATCGTAGACATCAATGCCTGTGTAGAGAGAGAAACGAGGGGGGGGGGAACATGAGCCAGAAATTGTGGGTCAGTGGGGTGGGGAGGGAACCAGACGGAGGAAAAGAGAAAACAAGACGACGTAGGGAGGAAACATTGAAACGCGCCCATTAATTGAAGCAGAAGCACGTGGATTGCCTCAAACCCTATCTCTGAGAGGGGCCTTTTGTCGTCTTCTTCCTCCCCCCGGGCCGCAGGAGGCGCAGCTCGCCGGTGCAACTCCGCGAAACCCGCAGGAACGGCGGCGGAAGAATTCCCCGGCGGAGCCGCCGACGCCCACGGACGGGCAGGATTGGCCGACCGAGAATGAAGATCTGCCGGAGATTTCCCCCGCCGTCAGGATGTACGGACCGGATCTTTCCTCCCTCCCTCCTCTCTCTCTTTATCTGTCTCTCTACAAGATAAAATTAGGGTGGGATTCTCGAGGTATTTCGCGGGGGTACGAAGACCCTTTTCCCGCCTCCGCGTCCCTTCTCTGTCTCTCTGTCTGCCCCCGTTTGGAAAAATCAACGTCCGATACGAGGGTCCATCCATCGGACGATAGAGATCGCATCTTATGGGGCCCACAAAAAACCCGTACACGAAAATTAGGGAGTTCCCGTGTAACGGTGGCGAGGCCGGAGATCCCGTCGCCACGCCAACCCTGACACGATGACGTCATCAAGGTGATAGCGTTAAATCCTCACATTTTTTGGGCTTTTTTCTGAAATGGGCATGTAAAAATTAGCCGTCACCTCTGTGGTTATTATTATTATTATTATTTCCGTGATTGTGGAAATTATTTACGATTCATATAATAATTTCCGTAGCACATTGATGGGTGGGTGACGGCGTATATCGCAGGTAGTCAAATTATTTAAACAAGGCGTTGTAGAAGATAATGTTCGTTATATAGATTTAAAACCCATTAAATTATATATTTATTTCGATGTGTTCTAGAGAGAGAGAGAGGTAGCTCTGATCCCGGAGCTGAATCCTCCAGCTTGCCGGCACCGGAGCTCGGCCTCCTCCCCTCCTGCGACATCGCGAGAAGAAGCCGCCGTGAAGCCAGCTGAGTTGAGCCGAGGAGCCGGATGGTGTGATTTAAATATCCTTTTTTTCAAATAAAATACCATTTAATGGGGACAGCTTGACGGTCAAGCTTCAGAGCCAGCGGCTGGTGACGTGGGCCCATCCCCCGCCCGCCCGCCTCTCTCTCTCTCGCTAGGGCTAGGGTCCCAGTCCTTCTCTATCTAAATTCGAGGTGTGGGACCCACCAGCTCCACTTGCATTCAAGGACAATGGGGCCCGCTAACGTCATCAGACACTCGGAATCTTCCTGCCCGGAGGACCCACAATTACGGCAGACGTCGCCCCCCGGAAAGGGGGCAGCTTGGCCCCTCGCAGTGGAGGAGGGACGGGTTGGCGCCCACCTGGAGTGGCCCACTACAGACTATTCTCTCTCCGGGCCCACAAGCCCGGCCCAGATCTGAAAAAGTATCTCGTGGCCATGGAGGCTCCGGGGAGGCTGACGTCAGCGAGGCGGACAGGCCACGTGGCGGGAAGCGTCACGTCAGGTGACCGGTGGGGCCCACAGTGTGTCCGAGGCGCGACCGGGTCACCTCGGTTGTGACTCAGAGAGCCCTCTCGAATTTATCCTTCCGGGCCGAATCTCCACGCTGGCGGAATCTGATGGGGTGGGAGAGAGAGAGAGAGAGAGAGAAGGGGAGGGAAATCTATCCAGCTGGTTCTGAAACGTGATTATTCCCCGGCGTCCCGCTGATCCCGCTGGGACCATCTGTTTATTTAATAGACGGACAACCAACATTAGGATTACCTAATTGGCTACTTTATCCGATCGGATCTTTCAGGTTAAGAGAGACGAACAAAGAGAGAGAGAGAGAGAGAGAGGAAGCAGCGGTTGATATTATCCAAGCAATGTTTAGGTTGGGAGGGAGAGAGAGAGAGACAGAGAGAAGAAGCAGTGGTTGATGTCATCCATTAATAGTTTGGGTGGGGAGGAGAGGGAGAGAGAGAGAGAGAGAGAGAGAGAGGATATTGTTTGCGGAGGACTGTGATGTGGATGGAAGAGCGAATAGGGTTGGAACAGGATCAGGGGTAAATCAGAAGTAAATCCGACGCATCTAGGGAACTGCATCCAAACGAGGGGCGGGTTGTCAAGGATCTTGGGGAATTTTGAAGCCCCAAGCAAGAGGAAGAACAAGTCGAGAGTTTTCGGCAATCACCCACGGTATTGCAAAGTAGTTCAAAGGGGGTCCATTACCGTCAGATCCCAAGTGGTCGGGGGCATGGATTTGTCAGACCAACATTCATTGAATCTAGAGAGTCTAGCGAGTGAGAGAGAGAGAGAGAGAGAACCCAAGATCAGGAGGAGGGTTAAGGACGTCCTTATCCCGTGGTTCTCTGGATGATTGCTGAATAATTAAAGATTAGGTCAAGAACAGCCGACTGTGGCCTGTTAAAATCGAGATATCGACCCAATTCTCCTGGAAAATTTCCAAATTGAGTTCGACGCCGAGGGGGAGGGAGACTGGAAAGAAGATCCAATATTTTTCCTTTATTTAATGAAAATCCCATAACCTAGAGACCAAGGTCGCTAGATATTTACTTGAAGAGCTACTCCATGGAACCAACATATTTGAATACCCCACATTAAAAGATGAGCATCAAATCCTATCATTGTATGGATGGACTTTCTGTATCCACTGTTAATCGGTTTTGGGTTGTTCCCCTGATTGTGTTTAACAGCCTCAGAACCAAAACATTGCTCTTGACTAGTCACCCCCCCATCCCTGTTGCTTTCTTGGCAAAACACAAAAAGTCAACGTACAATCGATCAAGAATGTTATAATAATCCCATATCAAGGGGTTCCCTTTTATTCACTGTTAAATGATATTGTATGTCACACAGCCCCGTCAAATCCTTAACTTCAACCGGAAAGGAATCATCGTAGTTATCCCTTTAAATAATTAGTCA